AGAAAAATGTTTTTTTTTTCCCAAAATTTTTTCTTTTTATCCTAGAGAAGAAACGAAAGGATTTAAATAAACGAAGATAAGAAATAACTAAGTTACGATAAACAGAATTGTAATTATTATTAAAAATGAAAACAAGTGCGAATTTAGCATTTTCCCCTTGTATAGAACCTCTTTTTGCCATTTCATTTTAATGCAATTTTATTACACTTTACAATGTTTACAATACAAACTGGTCCATTCCAATTTTTTACCATGTGTTAAATATTATAAAAGAATTTAGCTTCAACTCAACTTTAAATGAATTTTCCCGAATAAGTTTTTTAAAAAAATTTTAGTGTTTGGTTTAATATGCCTGTGGGGGGGGGATATGGTATTGTAAGGGGGTGGGTGGGGTATAAGGAGGAGGAAGGGAAGAGTGAAGTTACTAGACCATATGGTTGAGATGTTAAGACTTCAATTTACGTATAGATTATATATTTACAACACACTTTCAGTCAATACAGTTTTTATATTCATGTGTCTGGTCATTCGTAAGTTATTCATAGAACAAGAAACGACTAAACCAAATGGAATGCAAATAAATGTGTGTTTTTTATCTGGAAGCAGAGAACTGTGATTTTTTGTGTTTTTAAAACGATTTTCAAATTTCAAAAGAAGTAAACAGATGTGACCGTCCTTGTTACCCTGTATTGGTATTGATGTGAGGTTCCTAACGAATTTAATCCCATTCGGTTCAGCCGTTTTGAGTTTACTGGATACTATACCAAGGAACAGACGAGACGAGGCAAATATTGTTTAAACTTGAATAACTATTCCCAAAGTCCTGTCAAGCACATCAATTGTCTACATTTATACACATGCCAATTGGTATTAAATCTAATATAATATCAATTCTGTCTCGTAATAGTACAGTGACAGTGCCACACAATGCCATTAGAAATAAATCAGCTGAGAACTGTACGCGGCATGAATTCCAAATCGTGTCGCGCATTTTCTGCCATTATTAATACTTGCATCCATCATAAAATCTTGTTTCCAGGGGTTAATTAATGAATCATTGAATTATCTAGTTTTGCAAAAAATGGTTTGAAAAACAAGGCTAATTATAACTCGACCATGCAAATGTTGCATTATTTTAACCAGAAAACATGATTTATTATGATAAAGTGTTTGAAACATATATTTTTTAGGCAAGTTCCGGTCTAAGTATGGAGGTTGGACTACCCCCACCCAAGGGGTACGCCCCTGTTGGCGTGGCACCCAAGGCGTATTCAACCCAAGGACAGAAGAATGGATACGCCCCCTCCAGCCGTCCAGCTGATCCAGCCACACCCAACAAAACGGTTAGATTTCATTTTGCAAATCATCTTATTTGATTAACAATATGTTTTATTTCGAGACCTAGTTGAACCATCTTAAAGGAAGGGATTGCGAGACCTAGTTGAACCATCTTAAAGGAAGGGATTGCGAAAAAATGGTGTTGGTAGAAAACCCCTTCAATCATTGGCACTATTTACATCTTGTGGCTCTAATTTATTAAACTTAAATATGTATTTTGATATTTTACTTTTCTTATCAATCGACAATGTGACAACTTGTCCAATTATAATATTTCTCAAATTCTTTCTTGTCCCTTAATCTTATTTACAATATTTATTTCGCGGGGTTTCATTTAAAATCCATTTCAGTCTCTCAGAGCAAGATGATTGACGCAGAATTTTATTAAGCTTTGAATAATACTGTCTCCAGTGTGATCTACAGTGGTGCAACTGGGGGGGGGGGGCGAACCGAGTTTCGACCCCCCTCATTCTGATTAAAATGTGTTTTAATAGATTTAAATTTAAATATTCTTAGACTAGATAAATCGTAAAGAAAAAAAATTGAGTAACAGTGTGTCGATAGAAAAAGCCGGGGTTTTCCCGGCAAATATTTCTAACAATTCAAAGTGATTAAAATTTGGCAATTTTGCAAAATCGGAAGCATGATTTTTTTTCAGCAAATGTTAATTTTGGTATGTTAAAATGAATACAATTTATAAAAAAACTTGCTTGTTGAATCTATGCAAAAGATGGACATAAGCTTGATGGCTAATATTGCAAACGGATCAAACCATGAATTAATTTTTGCATTTGGAGTTTTTTTTTTTCAAAGCACTCTTTACTTGTTTTAAAAATATATAAAGAGTGAGAACCCAGAAACTTTGGATAAGAAGACGATTTTTATAGACTCTATTAATGATTTCATAAACATGAAATGCTACTATAGTAAACGTGTATGTAACGTTGTTACAAATTTGTAACAACGTTAAATACACTTATAGTTCTCACTGTAAACTGTACATCGTACATGCTGATTTTGTGCAACTTACATGCTGATTTTGTACAACGGACATGCTGATTTTGTACAACGTACATGCTGATTTTGTACAACGTACATGCTGATTTTGTACAACGTACATTCTGATTTTGTACAACGTACATGCTGATTTTGTACAACGTACATGCTGATTTTGTACAACGTACATGCTGATTTTGTACA